AGCCTCCATGGGACTGGTGACTAAATAGGGGCCATTAAGGGGATACTAAGGAGACAAAAGGTAGAGGGATCTTAAAAGTGCTCTTGATCCAGAGCTATTGGCTGTGCTATTCAGAGTGCAGCTGCTGAGGCTCGAGTTGGCTGACTGGTACAATTCACCACTTAGCACAGATGGGGACAAATAATTTCCAGCATCATGTCTCCCATTTTAGCCCCCAATGGCTGGACTGAAACAACTGTGGCACAATTGCTCAGAAAGGGCACAGCAATAGCCATGTCACACGTCCAGTGATGCATCCGAGAGCAGCAGCAGAAAAGCAGCCCTTGGCTTCAGCATGTCCAAAGCTTGGCTTAGCCCTGCCGGGCCGATGGCACCCCACAGCACTGTGACTTGCTCTTGAAATCTAATTGTGTCAACAAACATTTTACGACTTCAGAATAAATAACTTTCTCTTTCCCTCTGAGCAGGCTTGTTTTAAATGCCACTTGCTCTGTCTCTACCATTAATGAGCACGAGTTGACGCATCTATTCTCTGCTGCATTTTCCACAGCAAATCATGGCTTTACTGCAAAGGTACAGAATATTAGAGCCACAATTTCATTGGCAAGATTTTTTTGCTTGTGAACCCATTAATTTTTCCCTGAGCATTTTTCCTCCTCCATCTTGCTGGAATAGAGAATTGCTCTTTTGCAGGTCTATTCTCGCTGCTATTCCCTTGGCTTGAGTGAAATATATATGAGATGACTCAGAGTTTGAACTCTCAGTATATGTTTCTAATACAAAGTCTCTGTGTGTCTGGGGACTTAAGACAGATATTTAATTTTAGATAAGAAATACTGGTGACATCATGCCTTTGATTTCTTTGCTGGATATCTGCTCAGCCTGCACATGGTGAAGTTGTTCAGCCATAACAGCCTCATCCCATTTAGGAAGTCACATAATATTCAGCATAGGTATAGAGCAGCAGGCAGCCACTGGTCCTCTTGGGTGGTGCTTAGCTGGAGTGCACAATAATCCTGCTGAATCCATACAATAACACATAGGTAAGGGTAGAAGACTTTGCAAAGCAAGCTAGGTTTTCTAAGACATTTTTGTGCAGCTTCTGCATCCGTGGGACAGCAAAGCACATCAGCCTGAGGGTCAGCCACCCTTACCCCACATCCCACCTTGCACATGTTGGTTTATGCCCCCTCAACACACACAAGGGAGAGGTTGAATTTAACCTTGCCATCAGTGACTTCAGCTTCCCACAGCAGAAGATGCCGGCAAGTGCATCCAAGCAGAAGGAAGCATGCACACAACAGCTTCATTTTTAGCTTTACAGATTAAAAAAAAAAAAGACGTATTCATTTTATTTTGAAACATGACTAACTAAAAGCTCATATGCATGGAGAGGAGCCTGAGGAAAAAAAAATCAGACTCCTGCAGTAACACCTTTAATCGAGACCATTTTGACGACATTACGGTGACAAATTTTTAGCCTTTCCTACAATTTTATACCTTCTTACACAGCAGGTGTTATCCAAAAAGATCTAGGAGAGCTATTAGCATGGATAAACAGGGCATAAGACAGGAAATAAAATCTAATTGCTGAGGCACAAGTCAAACTGCAGTACTTGCACATCAGGAGAAACAGTTAGCATGTGAAGTGTCTTACCGAGGGGTCCTCATTCTTCAAAACTCCAGTCAGTCTTGAAACATCTTCCTAAAGTTTAGTCTTCAGTTCATCCAGGAGTAATAACTTTGCTCCAACACTATCAGCTTCATCACTTTGGTCTACATAAAGGAAACCATCATCAGAATCACCCTGGGCTTGCTAAGGGGCCTCCAAGAAACACACAGACATGCTGCTGTTACTTCTCCAATTAATATCCAGAGTTAATATCCAGGTGGGGACAAAGCTGATTAAAGCAGCTCCTAGACTTTAACTTACTTTTGCTGGGTTTTACCTTTTCTGGTTTTTTGTTTGTTTTTTTTTTTTGAAGCCTTTGTCAGGTGCTTCTCCTAATTGCCCTAAATGAATAACAAACAAACCTGCAGATTGAGACAATTGGGTTTTTTCAGCCTGGAGAAGAGAAGGCTTAGGGGTGACACACTTGCAGCCTTACAACATCTAAAGGGAGCCTACAAGAATGGAGAGGGACATTTTACAAGAGCATGTAGGTTGCCCAGGGAAGTTGTGGATGCCCAGTCCCTGTAGGTGTTCAAGACGAGGCTGGATGGAGCTCTGAGCAACCTGGTCTAGTTGAAAGCTGCCCCTGTCCATGGCAGAGGGGTTGGAACGAGATGATCTTTAAGGTCCCTTCCAACCCAAGCCATTCTATGATTCCATGATTATGGAGCTCACAGCTGAAACAGAAGCTAGATGAGAAGAAATGGTAGGAACCCAGTTGAGAGCACTCCAGAGGCATGTCTAATCCAACAGCAATAGACCTCAGAGGACATAAACCTCTCAGCTCCAGGGCTGTGGTTTGGTATATCACCTTGGCCTGAGGTCAAAATCAGCCCATGGCGTACTTGAGGATGGCAGGTTTTAACATCTGTTCTAAAGCCTGAAAGCCACCAAACTGGTGGATATATGAGATGGCTCATAAAGCATCCATGCCTTTTTAGCTAGTACTTATGTTTTCAATTTTTGTGTCAGTGTGTAAAGAAACCAAAACCAAACCTGCAGCTCCCAATTTAGGGCCCCTTGTATCAGATCACAATCACAAGCTGTTCAACAAAACTAATAACATTGCTCTGTGCCCCAAGAAGGGATGAGCGGTAGTCCTAGGTGAAATGAGGTTGCTGAGGCTCAGGTGCCACCCTCACATTTCCACCTCACTGACCAAGACAGTATCATTTGGCCTCACACCTCTGCCTCAGAAGTTTCCTGTTGAAAAGAATCTCACAACACAAGCCCCAACCCATAAATCTCATTTCTTTAGGTGTGTGAATTTGCAGTAAGGGGGATGTGCTTGGCTTTAAATATTGACCCGCTGGAGTGCAAAGTGGATTCAAGGCAGAATGGTGGTGGTCTTTCTTGGTTTGCTCAAGGGAGGGACATGGGGTTTGCCCTTACTAGCCATGCACAGCCCACAGAAATAAAGCATCCATGATGTTACCCATGTGCTGTGAGACAACTCTTAACAGTGCTGCAGCGACTGGTTCAATGATTGTGAGGCGCACGTACCCCTCAGCATCCCTCTCCTGTGAGGCCATGCTCTTGAAGCCCAGGGTGCTGACGTGCAAAGTTTACTCCTCTTTTAGCACTCCCAGCCGGTAAGTCATTTTCCAGGCATACCTAAAACTATTTTAATTTTTTATGTAAGAAAAATACGGTTAAAAAAAAATCACAACAGTGTGAAATATGGCTGAAGACTCAGCAGGGGTGTTTCTTCATTTCCTCAGGGAGCTATCAGTTACTTCTGACCCTGTAATAAGAGATTGTAGGTGACAGGCTTTTTGTTTTTTACTTTTTTTTTCTTTCTTTAAACTGTAAAACAATATAATGTCTTACTGAAGCTCATTGTACATCAACTTACTGGTGTATTGGGTCAGGGAGTCTGTGGGTTAATCCCGTGATGGGTAATGAAGCATTACTTATAACTACATTTAAGACTTTGCTTTTTCATTTCCCTGCAGAGTACCACTTGCTGTATTACCTATGGTGAACTGCAGCACTCAATTCACCTTCTGTGGACACTACTTATTATTTTATAGGCCTCTAACATGTCACTTCTTCCGTGTTTCTGCACTAAAAATATTTCTAAATGGCTCCTAACAGGAAAGTCTCCACTTTCATTTAATAAATCCATTTAGTCTCCTTATTCCTTGGTCCTCAGGAGAAGCAGAGTGGTCCAAAGAAAACATGTGCCATTGATTGGGAACCTGGGATTAAGACTCCTTGAGATGCTATACTCTTAAACCCACACTGTAGCCTGACTACTTTCCCTGCTGAAACGCACAGTGAGCAGATGCTTTCCTTGCCCCTTTGACCAGGCTTTCTTCAAGCTGTTGCAGGGGGTATGGCCCATGCAATTGAGACACAGCTTCACATCATTTTATCTGGAATTGGGATTTTCTCATAAGGGAAGGTAGCAGAACTCAACACACTGGCATGTCCATGGGCTCTGCCTTTGCAGATTGGCATTGTTTGGTCCCCAGGCATTGGCTGGTGGCATCCTCCTGCCCCTTGATCCAGCAAAAAGCCACAGCTGGCCAGCAGTGACACCCACCACAACTCAAGCTGCAGGGTTCCTGCCTTTGCACTGTCCAGTGGCTCCTTGTTGCTTCGTTAAACTTGCAGCGATGTTTCTAAGTACTGGGATATTTATGTCGACTTTGACACACTACCAGTCAGATCTCCCGTATTAGGGTTGTATTATTTTTTATGTGAAATGTTGCAGCAGCTAATTGCAATTACCAGAAAGCATATACAAGAGAGCTTGTTGATTGCCAGTAGACAAAGACACTTTGGAAATCTTGGATTTTGCTATAGATGAAAGCCTATAAATTTTAAAATAGAAACCACGTTATCATTTACAATTTCCGTTTGCTAACAAATTCTGCTAAACAAAATTGGCGGCTGATTAAGTAAACATTTATACATAAATAAAACAGTGAAGATCTCTTCAGTTATTGAGATTCAGCCAGTTCAGTCTCTCGTAAATAATACAGTGATGAATTCTGGCGTTACAGTGCATGATAAAGCTACCTAGTCTCAAAGTCTTAGGCAAACTAATCCATACGCATGAATCAATCAGTTCATTTTAGTCATACTGGCGTTACATAAATGTCACTAAAATCAATGACTGAAAGACATAAAAGATTAATAAGTCCTCATGTGGTACATCTAACTGGGATGCAAACTTACAGCAGATAACTTCACGCTGAACACAGCTATACAGGTAGTTTGAATAAGTCATTTTAATAGAAAACTCAAGGGCATGCCTGTGATGAGCAGGCATGGATGAGAAAAATCTGGTGCGTTATTAATTTCAGACAATGCCGAGTTCTTTTTCATAATGTACATTTTATTAATGCTCTCCATGATAGCTTTTCATACCGGTTCACCACCAGGAGTACAGTAATTACAATGTATTAAGATTCATTCCATGCCTGAGGAGTAAGGAAGTCCAGTTAAGATATGGAAAGCAAGTGAAATGTCAATCACTATTGACTCAGGGCTGGATTAAATCAAAACTCTGCCCTGGGGAACCCAGCGGCTGGGTGGGTTTGGTAACAGCACCTCCCAGACACAATCTTCAGTGAATATCTGCCTCCCTCTCCTCACTGGCTCACCTCCGCACATAACCTGTGTGCCATCAATACGGATGCAGTGGATGGGATTCACCATTTTTATTAGGACTTGGGGTTGGTCTGGCTCATCATTACAACCGTCAGTTACTGGGTGTCAGCTCTTCAGGGTTGGAAAAAGAGAGAAACATTACAGGTTGTTGTAAATGCCTCCAAGAATAACTCTTCTAGACATAATGGCAAGGGTTTAAGGTCCAGAATGATGGGATTGTCTGGGGAGAGAAACTAATAGTGAGGGCTCTAATGAAAAAAAAATCCACCACTAAACACAACCCAGTGGATTTCTGCTTTCCTGCAACCTAGTGGAAAAACAGGGAATATCTTCTTTCCTGCAGTTGCAGCCCTCACCAAGACAATGGTCACCTTGCCTAGGGACACTATGCAAGGCTGGAGAAGCGGGCAAGGGAAGAGGCATCCACATGTGGCAAATGAAAGCACAGTGTCCTCTGTGCACTGGTTTGATAAATAAATAAATGTGATAAATATGTAAATAACTTGGCACTAGCAGTTGTTAGGTGTTAATGGCAACAGCAGCCAGAGAGAGGCGGATAACAGAGGAGGTATTCAAGTACTCAAGAGGAAAAGACCAACCCTTGCAGCTCACCTTGAACCACTGCAAGCAAATTACCTCTCTAGATACCCACACTCCTCAGTCATTTAAAGCAGCTTCCAATTTCTGTTTATTGCCCACTGGCCATTCGTAGCAAAGGTATAGGGGCTTTGCCCCCAACACTATTCTAAATATGTTGGTTGATACTATCTGGCTTTTTAATGGGGAAGGACACTTCATGCTGGCCCTGCTTTCTAGAAAATGCTAGGCTGAAGAGAGTCTTCTATGTCTAGAGAAAGTTATTCTGTGTAATTTTCAAAAATATCTTTTTTTTTCTCAAGTATGGTTTTTTTCCTCGATTTCAATTTTTAATTTCAATTCTTTTTTTCCAATTTCCCTGCACTGGCTGAATCCACATGGTTGGACTCAGAGTAAATAAGGCATAAGTAGTTGTGAAGGATGAAGGGGAACACCCGAAGCTCCTCTCCAGCTTCCATCAGGTACCATGCTGCAGCAGCTCACATTCTGCAAGCGCCCGTGCCTGAGTGCAGCCCTGTTCTGCTGGCAGTGTTTGCAGATGGCCACTGTTGTGCCGCGGCAGGGGACAGTGGATGACAACTCAATGGGGAGCAGAGATTTATCAGCTTTTACTCACCTAATGCCACCCCCGCCACGCCTCGTTCCATGGAGAGGTGCGGACACTACTCTGCGCTAATGCTAATAAAGCTGGACCTGGCAGCACTACTTATGACTTCTCAAGCTTGCTTGGGCATATAAAGTTGAGTACAACATACACATCCATATTCTCGCTTCTCTCACAGACACAGCTACACAGACATGGGGACCTGCGCTGGCTGGCACCCACCCGCACCAGGCACAGTCTTGCACACGCATTTGCGAACATGCTGAGGAGAACTGCACATACAGGCACTGGCTGACATGGACACAGATGTCTATGCATGCCTCCATTTAGCCAGCTGAACTATTGGCCCAACACCATTAATAAGCCTTCAGGGGTTCTTTTTTTTCCTTTTCTTTTTTTTCTTTTTTTGAAACTAATGCTAAAACTCTGGGAATAACCACACTGATGGGGTTTGAATCCTTCTGGTGATTTCTGCCCATCCCACCCCCACCCCCCCTACAACTGCACCAAGCAGCCCAAGTCCTCTGTGGGCTGTAGCTGAGTATTTACACCAGTGGAGACCATGGGCCCAGTGAGTCCACCCTGTTTACGTGGATGAAGGATTAACTGTCTGCCGAGTCCTCTGATGGATGGGTCTGTCATCCTTCAGGTGCCTCCTGCACCTACCGTGACTGCACAGCTTGGCTGCAAGACCCCACACCAGCCTCCACAGGCAGACTCCACGGTTTCCCACATATCCATCCCCAGCTGAGCTGATTGAGAAACGCTATCTTCAAGATACTAAGGCTTATTTTTTTCAAAAAAATATCTCTATTTACACAAGACAATAAAATCTGAGCAGCTTTCCCCCGAGAAGCTTTTGCCAAGCAGAGCTGCTGCTGGACACATGCGCCAGTCCCTATTTACACACAACAGCTTTGCTTGACAGTACCCTGTTGGCAAGTTCAGCTTCTTCTGGTGTAAGGACTATTTCTTTGTCCCTCTTTTCCTTTCCTTGTTAGCTCTTTGCACAGACAGGTCTGTATTTACAACAGTAACCTGGATCCAGTGGGTTCACTTTATACAGCCCAGCTTGCAAGCACGGTGAGGGGCTCAGGATGGTGGAGTGAGCACGCTCAGCCATCTTTAAGTGCTATCAAGTTGCAAAGTCAACGTTTGGAGCAGATGAAACTAATTTCTTATTACAAAAGACAATTTTCACCCGTTCTGCTCATCTTAAAAAACTGGTGAGCGACCAAACGGTGAGGGCACTTTCCAGGGCACTGCCATGCACAGGGCAGCAGGAATCTCAGCTGGGCTGTTTTCTCCTTGGGGATGCAAGGGTTTGCTGAGGGTTTTGTTGAGGCTAGTTTCTCCTGCCTCTCCTGTTGCGCGATCCCAAGTGAGGGATGGGTAAACTGAGGCACAGAGGGGCTGAGGTGGTACGCTGGCATGGGCTTGCTGAGGCAGGCTTGTTGGGTGCCCCAGGTGCTAGATGACACTGTCTTCCATGGTGACTCGCCTGAAGACTGGCTCCTGCTTGGGCGTCCTTCCACTTTCTGCGAAAGACAAGGGGAGAGCAGGTAAAGCTCCAGAACAGGACCCTCAAGCAACCACCAGCTATTTTCAAGACCATTTCCACCCCCAGACAAAGTAAAGAATGCCTGGGCTTGCCTTGAAAAAGAAGGCTTGCTCAGAACACATGAATGTATTTATGGGTCAACATCCCATCGGGAATCTCCTCCCATCCTTTTTGCTGAATTTGGTGCTACAGTTTTGCTTAGCTTTAGCCCCACATGAGCCAGTTATTTGTTGAATGGTGTAAGGACTGACAGCATCAACCACTGCTGCCCATCGCTCTGCAGAAGAAGGGTGATGCCAAGGTGCCTTTTTGTTCCTCTGGGTTTAGCCCAGCTCAAGCAAGGAGAGCACAGAGCTGAGCAGCAGCCACCAGCTTGTACCAACCCAATAGGCTTGTTTTAGCAATCTGCATTTTTTGTAGTGTGTTCACCTCCAGCCCCCCCTTAATGATAAATAGTCAGTATAAATGACTGCAGAATAAACAGATTTGTTTTGCTATCAGACATTATCTGAAGGGCACTTTACATCCTGAGTGCTCTGCTTTACAGCTGCCTCTATAATCACTGAAGCCCCAGGGAGGAAAACACCTCCTTTCACAAGTGCAGGTTGGAAAGACACAGCCGCATGCATTTTGGGGTGAACACATGCAGGCTTCTTCATAAATAATATTTCAGGGAGAGGTTAAGATAGGCTAGACACATTCAAGAAAAATCAAGAGGTATCTTGGAGCCATTTTCTAAGCATAAATGATTTCACTCCATTTCCCAACCACCCAAATCTATGTTCCTCTGTATGGCATAATAGACAATATTACAGGGAAAGTGGTGCGGGCAGAACCGGCAACTTTTCAGGCATCTCCCAGCTTGGCTATTTTGACTGATCTTTTTAATCTTTGAGGAGGAAGGACTTTCATCCTTTCCTTGTTGCTCATCTCTTTTGTTTTCTTCTTTTTTTTCCCAAGCAGTGGGATGCATTTTCTCCTTTCATTTCCACTGCTGCTGCTAGCTTGGTGGGCTGCTTTGCATTGCAGCTCAAACTGTCAACAGCTGAAAATGCCTGGGTGCACAGTGTATCTTGGGGAAAAAAAAAATCAAATATTCCACCTATTTAATATGAAGCACTCCTCCTGGCTGATATCAACAGCAGCTTAAGCAATGAGGCCTTTTATCTCTAAGTAAGAATGGCAGCAACACAACCAAAGAGGTGGGTGAGGGGAAGGTGACCAAAGGGCAGAGCTGAGGCGCTTGCACGGAAAGCAACTCTTCCATTTATCAGGGAGGGACCCTCTCAAAAAAAGGCCTGCTTGGTGGTAAACCGTATTTTTTAAGGTGAGGAAACGAGGGGCTGGCCAGAGTAGGCACCCAACAGCCACAGCCAGGCTGTAACCTGCCTCAAATTAGCCTCCTGTCGCACATGGGCTAATCTCATACAACCTTGCACTTCTCTCCAGATGCCCACAGAAACCACCTGAGAAACTGCTTCTGGCATATTTCAGCCAAAGGACAAAGCCTTGCCAGAAATCAGAGGCTTTTTCTTTTAATTCCCCCCACGCAAAGTCCATTTACCCACACCCCCTCTGCAGCTTTCGTGCAACCAAGTCCTACAACATGTTTTGGGTGCAGTGCTGCTGCTTCCCAAGGGGCATAACCAAACATCTTCCACCCAGTTCGCTGACTGCTTAGTTTTCCACATTCATTCCCCCCCCCCCAGTCCATCAGTGGATGCTACCATAGGCTCACGCCCACTGAAAGGTGAAGCCCCTGCTGCTGGTGGGACACAAAGACTACAGGGCTTATGCCTGCATTGAACTTTCCTGCCACAGTGACCCAACTTAAACTCTGCCTGAGATGCTTCCAAGAGAAGTAGGAAAAGACAGGCTGAAACCAGTTTTATTATAGCCACAATTTATCCATCGAGCATCCTGCTGCTGGAAATAACCTTTCCAAAGTTGTAACTTAAGATGCAGTGGATTTTAAGTGGTAGTCGGAGATACTGGGTCATCTGCACAAGTACTCCCATGCACACCAGCTGAGGAGGTTGTGCAGCAGCTATGTTTGTTTTATATTCTAAGTTGCTGTTCAGGGTTTTAAGCAACGCTGTCAAAATACCAAGCATTTGCTTCCAACACATAATAATTGCTCTGTATACCAGCATGTTTTGTTTATTTATTGAGGTTTTAGCTTGGGTTTTTACATGTGTACAGTGTATTTAAGGAGTAGAAATATAAGAAAAGGAAATATGTGGAGGATGAAGAAATAAAAAGGCAGCAAATACTTAGGATGATGTTTTTGGGGTTTTTTTGTTCCTTGCATTTTGCTGAAGAAGACTATCACCATCTCTCTGGCATACCAAATACAGTAAACAGTAAGCACCTGTAAAAAACTATTTTGATGTGAAAAAGGAAGATTTCTAAGCTATCCTGGCTAGTCTCAATATTTCAGCTTTAAACAGACTATCTCTTCTGCACTGGGATTACAAATGATCTGGTGTATGATCCATGCATCCCTAGGGCTTGCCAAAGCCTTTGGAAGAGCAAAACTGGTCCTACGCCAGCTACCTGTGCTGAATGAAATGTCTCTCAGTCCAGAATGGTGAGTGCTGCTGGTTTTTCAGGGGTACCCCAGTGCTCTCCCCTGACTGCATTGGTAGTGCCCCTGCTGAGGACAGTCACCACTCACACAGTCATCAATGCCTTTCCTGGGAGCACTAATCACAGATTTTTTCTGGTTTCAGCTTTGTGCTGCAGGATGTTCTCCATGCTGTTACCAGAGAGCCTGCGACAACATGACATTTATATAATGTTCATGAGCACAGACTATTTAAACCCTAAAATATTCATTAAATAAAATTTGCATAGAGTCTAGCTGAATGCAGCAGATAGCTAAAAATAAAGTACTTTTCTTTCTAAAGGTAAGGAGGAGATCAGGCTGTGACAGATGACCAAGCCGGTGCTCTTAAGCTTTCCTGAGAAAGGTTTTTAATAAGATGAGCTATCTTTTTATCCCTGTTGACTAGACAATTCTACAGGTTATTATATTCTTTATAAACTAGTGAGATCAAGAGCATATGGGGATGTGTGAGAGAAAGGCCAGCTGGCCAGAGAAGAGGGAGGGGGATGCAGGCAACAGGGACACATATGGAGACACAGAAGGACCCCCACGAGCTCTCTGCCTCCCACCACTACCAAGGTTTCCCCTGGCCCTGTGAAGCATCTCACTGCTTATTACCTGGGGGCAGGGAGGAAAGAAAAAGATTGGTTAACAACTTCAGATTTCAAAGAATTAAAAGCAATCAAAAGGCAGAAATTAGCAGCATCATGGTAAGTAATATTGTCTACAAAATGCCTCCAAAGCTGTGATGAACACTCTCCCTTCCCAGCAACCCTCCAGTCTACATAGTCTTTACTAGCATGTCTTTCACCTTGTGTTTCTCCTTCACATGTTTCAGGGAGATTTTTACAGTCTCTTATGGCTCTTGAAGAAAATGGGTAGGAATTGCCTGCTAGAGTCAAAGTGTCCTTAAGAAGTAAACTGATGCATCAGCTCATTATGGCGTAGTCTGCAATGGGATTACAAAGGAAAAATAACCCAGTCCTGTGCAAATTAGAAGGACAAAGTGAAAAAAGGGATTCACAACTTACAAAGAATCCCAAGATGATTTTCAGGAAAATGCAAGGCATGGAGCCTTACACTTCTCCACTCTCCTCTTCCCACTGCAAAAAAGGCTTTCTGAAGAGACAACTCAAGCAAGGGATTGACAATCCTCCCTCCAAACATGCCTGGCAACCTAGGCTTCCCAAAGGTGGTCCCGTGTTTCAGAAAGCAGTCTGTGTATTGTTTGATGTTTTCATCAAGCACTACCTGTTTGCTTCTATTCTGTTTGTTTCACTGAAAGTGGGATACTTATTGCAGTTGAATGATGAAGATTTAATCCCCTCCCTATAAGGCAAATCTGGTTGTTTTTGTTTTGTTAAATGAAGCTCTACAAAGGAAGAACCATCCAGTACTGGGTTGATTATCCCCATCAACCCAGCTTGCAAAGTTATGTGCCCCAAGCATGAACATGGATTTAATACCATAATCACCGCTGCCTCTTCATCAAGCTGTTTTCTCACATCCCTGCCTTGGCTCAGCATTAAGAAATGCCTTAGAAGTTTTTTAGCTCTCCCTCCTACCCCAGGAGCATTGTAGGCACCGAGGACTTAGCAGTGACTTGATTTTCACATGCTGCAGTCTGCATAGAACACACCACTATATTGCCAGTCATGTAATAATTATATCTAGTGAGCTATTTATCAACAAGCAGAAACCTTCACCATGCCCATAATCAACTATCTGACACAACAAAGTCTGTTCTCAAGGGAAAAAAAAACAGCCAAAAATAATCTGCATCCTGCTCCCCATTTTTGGCTTAATAAAATTAAAATGCATAATATCTATTTTCCCTCTACTTTGTGATTCAGCTGTTTCCAAAGCTATAAGAAGCACCAACAGTGAATCCTATGGTGTAAGAACGGCCTGGGGACAGAAATAATCAGCTTGAAAATAAGCAGCATTTTTTGCAATCAAAGCGCTAATGGGCATGGTAGGCTGGCAGAGGGAAGTGTGAGTGAGAAGAACAGCCTGCACACTGATAAATCTGAAATACACAGAAAGGCTGGGGAAGAATGACCGTTTGTAGTAAAGGAAGTCAAAGATTTTTCAGTAGGACAAAATCATCCCATAGCAAATCCACCACTGCTTTGTTCTTGCATAGTTTCAGGGACACTGGTAAATGCTGTGCTGATCACCTGCCTCCACTTTATCACGATGATATTTGTTAAGGCATATCTCACCCTCTGGATGAATTCAATCCGTCCATATTACTGGAAAACTATTTTTTGAGTCTAATTCAGTAAAAGAGTTTTTACATTCTCCAAAGTAGGAAGTACTTCAATTATTTAAGGCCTCAGCAGCCTCTACTGGGCTGCTACATGGAT